AGGCTCCACAGCCGCAGGTCCCCAGAGGCCCAACAGTCCCAACACAGGAGCTAAAGCTCCTCTAGGGCATGATCATTCATCCATATCATATTGTTCCTTTAACAGCTTGGTTGCTCAGATCCTTGCAACATGGGATGTCCCAAAAGCTATTGTAAAGAGACCACGATATGTCCATATCAACTGCTTTATAGCCCTTGAGTTATACACCTTACAGCAAAGTAATAAAACCTTGCTTAGAGAAACAAAGAGCATATCCAATGCCTTGATGGTGTGCAAGTGTTCTTTACTGAGATCTTCTTCACAGATTTGAAGTTGCATCTCATAAAGACCTTTTAATATTGGATACCATTATGCTTTCCATTTATTATTCAATTCTTCTGCAAAGAAAAGAATTCTAGTCAAAAGTACGGATGCAAAAAGTAGAGAATCTCGATTCCACCTATCCAGTCATCAAACTGTGTGTTCATGTTCTAAATAAAACTTCACTCCTGCAGTTCTGGGTTAGAAGCTCAAATACACTTTCTGTAGATTTTCCTGATCTTCCCTAGCAATTAAAATTTAGTTCAATTAAATAATCTTTTCTTAATGACAGCATTACAAAAAATGAATTAGCTATGTCACTAGTCTTCACCACAGCCATGGTGCAAAAGGATGCACACCAAAAAGGTAAGTCCAGGGCTCGTAAAGGCCTCATGGAAAGGTCCTCTACTCAATGCCCTCGCAAATGCTTGGTTGTCACACAGCTGCTTAAGAGACGCAGGGATTCCTCCCCCTGGACCCTGCCCCAGCCCTCACACCTCCCGTTGAGTCTGACAGTGAGTAAGCCTTGCTCCCAGAGCTCCAGACTATATGCGCCTTGGGATCTGTGTACGGCATCGACCCGACAGCAATAACTGTGAACAAGAATTACTGAAAACTGTTTTCAAAACCCCCTTGGAGCATAAAATAAAATTTTCAGGCAATTTGCTCTGAGAACAAGATACCTTTTATGTGTGGGAAGGAGTAACTGAATTAGCTTAATTATTACTTCCATCACAGTAGAGGAGATTAGGTATATATGTCTGCATGCTTATATTTGAGTGTGTATTTTCCATTTTGCCATTGAATTTCTCAAAATTTAACAAGAGCGTTCAACTCTGTTCAAGGAAAAGTGGTGGTGATTTTCATGTAAAGTTACAGGAAAGTCATATGGAAAGATGACAAAGTAATGCAAATCAAGACATTGGAATTTCTAACAAACTCTTAAGAACTGTAGCCTCATAAAAGGCAACAATCTCTCAGCCACCTCTGCCTTACAGACTTGCATCTCTCTAAATACTGAGAACAAAAGGAAGTGCTTCTTCATCCCAAATTAGTTAGCTTAATGAAAACTTAAAAAAAATTAAATAATTAAACCCCACCTGTCTTATTGTTTAGGGAACACCCAATATACCATCTTTACTTTGGTACATCTAAGTTTCTTACAAAAGATAAACACTTCATATAGCTATTCTAGGAAGGTCACAAAGTTGTATGTGCTGTGTTCTACCTCTTTAAACAGACTGGTTCTCTTCAGCAGGGACTTAAACACCAGTAACAAATTTTAGGTACTGTATAAAAGAAAATGCTGGTAGGCCTGTGCCATTCATTATATTTAGTTTTTTTATTTTCACTATCCAAACTCAAAAGAAACACACAGTTAAGTTTCAGGTATTGATACACAGTTTTCTAAAAAATATCCCTTTCATGTTCTCTTCAGTAAACCATGTGCTCAAATGTTTGCAGTTCAACCATAAGTAGCAGGTGCCTTCTCTCCCCCCCCCTTCCCCACCGCCAAGGGACTTTTTCTACTTTAATATAAAGTACTGTAAACCTCTTATTCAAAAAGAAAAATTCAGAAGAAAAATTCTTAACCAAACACCTTTTCAAAATTGTTGTCTGGCATGGCACAACATTAAGCAGTTTCTTTTGGTATAGTAATTCTTGTAACTTTTTCAGTCAGGTTAGGTCTCTGTGAGTATTTTAGACTTAAGGCAGACAATACACAGTTTAGAAATACATTAGCACATATTTGTCATGGTATGGCATTTTCAGTAGACATCGGTTTTTCATAATTCATTGTGCATTTCACATTTCAGAAAACTTCTTCAGTGCTGAACTTCAGCCTTTTTCCTTTAGTCTTCTTGATCTTCTACACCTCTACTTTTGCTCTCAGAACTCTATCCCCTGGGTGTTTGTGATCCTGCATTCCTGAAAAGTTAGCTTGCTTTAAAGAAGAGTCACATTTCTTCATATTTCATACAGTAACATCTTTTCCTGCACATTTCAAGGCAACACCTCAACTAAATGCAACAATTAAAAACTTAATTTTGGGAAAAAACCACAGTTTTTACATATATTTTTACAGTTAAATCCACCTGTACATTTAGGAACAACTATCTCAACTATGGAAACTTTTAACCAATACCAGGACTTGACAACAATGTGGGTTTTCTGAAAATTCATTCCTCCTCTGGCTTACTACATGACTGTTGCAAGTTTGTGGAATATTGTGTGGAATATATTTTTAAAATAATTTTGAAACTTAACATATTTATACTGATAGACAACAAACCAATATTATACTACACAATACTTGATTGCAGAGATTCTATAAGATATATTGTGCACTTATAAAAAATTCTTTCACTTCAAATGTAAGTGCAAAGCAATAGTTAATATTTTAATTCTACATTGTAGTAGCAGTCATGTATACATAAACCAGCACTTTTTCTACAAAAACAAAAAACCAAAACAAACAAAAACCAAAACAACAACAATAAACCCAAAGCCCACCCGTTTGCATTTTGGGTAGCGTAATGATTACACTAAAGTATGACAAATGCAATGCCAACTGAATAAAGTTTCTAAAACAAAGAACTTAGGCTGTTAATAGAAAGGCTATATAAAAATATGACATTAACAATGCTACTGTAGATCCGAGAGCTTTCAAAATACACTGGGGTTTTTTTGGATTTTTTTTTTTTTTAAAGTTACACCATTGGCAGTAGCAAACTCAGCAAAGTCACTGCATTTACATCCTCAACAGCTTTTTGAGAAAACCATTGGGTTTGCTCTGGGATCTCAATATCGACACTGCAGATGACCATACATCCCCCTAGAGTCCTAAGCGCTACTTGGTCCTATTCACCCAGCTAAGAACACTCATCACAAATAATCAAGCCCTCTGCACAGGCCTTTGGTTGTTACAAAAGACTATATGTTCCTGACCAACAGCACAAAATGATACTGCAGTGTAAAGATATGGCTTTCTCTAAAAGTGATATAGTATCAAAGTAAAAAAAAAAATAAAATTCCACAAGACACTTAAAAATTATTGTGGTGTTCAACACTACATTTATGCAATCAAATAGACTATGTAATCAGTCATACTGTAGTAGAACAAGAAAAAGACCTTTTATTCACTTGAAAAATTAGCAGACTGGAAGATTTCTTCATTGCATTACACAAACTTCCCTGAGATTTTTACATAAATTATGCTTAGTCTACTACATATTGGAAACCAGTTAGCTACTGAGTATCATACACTGCAAATTTTACATATTTCCTGCATATGTTATCCAGCTAAAATGCTGTTTCAATGCTTTAAAGCTTTATCTCCTTTTGTTACAAAAAACATGAACACACAACTGAGACTACAAATGCTAAGACATTTTTTGCACAAAATTTCAAATCTTCAAAGCAATGTAGAGAAATTGAGAAAACACATTAAGTTGAACAAAGTACTTCAAAGTTCTTCGCAGCTTAAAAACTGACTGAAATTAGTTTGAAAAGTCATTTGTGCAAGTGCTTGGTGGCAAGAATACCAACAGAAATACTTTTAAATGCAATGGGCAGAAAGAGGGTTGATGCTCTTTTCCCTATTTAGCACTGTCTTGTACTATAGCTTGTAATTTTGTAGGAGTGATTGTGGGAGAGAAACATCATAGTGGTACAAAACACTGCTATACTGGCACTATGTTACACTAAATAAGGATTATTTAAAAATTTTTTTTAAAGTTGAGGTTCTTAAACTTCTGATAAGATGGATGTAGTTAACCACAAATATTAAGGACACTCCACAGTCAAAATAACTCTTCTGTTTAACTGATTCACTGCCACAGATTTTAAAAATGAACACTTGACTTTAAATACAAAGCTGGATGTCAGGTCAGTTTGCCAAGTTGTATATCCCCTTAACTGAACTTCTCTCAGCAGAAGTCCAAGAAGAACAAGGTTTGTACTTTGCAAACAATAATGCTTAAGTAAAAACAAACAAACAAACATGATTATTTGAACTAAAAATACACAAACCCTGCAATTTTACTGCTTTGAGATATGAGATTATCCCCAAGTTTCACGCCTGAAGGCAAAACCGAAGCGCTGTCTTGTCCATAAATTTTTGTTAGACTTATTCCAAAATCTGAATTATACAGAATTCAGGTAGCTCTGATCTCCTTCCAGTTCTCAGTAACTGGAATCATGTCCTTGCCCTCTGCTGATTGTGGAGCAATTGCACTTGTAATTCCTCCTTCCCAACAGTCTCATGTTGGGTATTACCACAGAAAGAAACAGGAAGTAACTTGGGCCACTTCATGACAAAAGAGGCTTGACGTGGTTGTGACTGGCTGTATCAGATACTGGGCCATAAGTATTCTTTTTCTGTACTGGAAGGAAGGTATAAAGTGATCATCTTAACAGCAAAGTAAGGAATTGTGAAATGGAGGGCATTTTCTAGATTTCTAATCCTGCTTTAAAAGTTCCCAATTTGTAGATACACCTATGACTGCATGAAAATTACAAAGATGGAAAGAATAAAAGAGCAGCATTTAAAAGCAGTATGTTTAGCTTTTTCTTATTCAAACTGAATACACTGCCTTGTATAAAATGGCTTCACTTCTACATGTTATCACTGTATCTTCAATTCTATAAAGAGAATCTAATACTTACTCAACAAAGGAAAAGAAAAAACAGATAACATGTTTGCTTTTTCATTTTTAAATTAAAATTTTCACGTGGATGAGTACATTTTTTTGGCTCTCCAAAGTATGAACAATTTGCTCCCTTTCTTTCAAAATACTTACAGTACATCACACAGCTTCACACCTCTTTGGATATACTGCTGGCTGATAACTGATTCAGACAGGCACATTAGAAGTTTCTGCATTACATAACCACTTCTATTTTGTTATACAGAGGAGCCATTTCTGCATCAACAATGAAAATATCATTAAACTGTATTAACAAACAAAAGTCCTTGTGCAACACACAAAACAGGATGCCAAGTCACTATATACTCAGTGTGAAAGGATTTCTAGAAGTCTTTTCTCTGCATCTCCATTTCAACAAGGAAATACACTGTCTTTTTATCTCTAAATCTCACTGCATTATAAGTCACCTCTTTTTTGCATTGCCAAGTAAGGCAAATAATGGTGGTGTTGAATGACTATATATTTTATTTAGAAAAATAATTTCTCTTCCTGTTGAGAATTTCAGCATGTTCTCATAGTAACAAGTATATCCTGATAAAAAAACCCAGCAGGATTCCTCAGCATGCAGATTGAGATAGGATATTTGCCACACAGATTTTACTTCCAGCAAGGATAAGATGCGCACATATGTCAATTATACACAGGTACATTCTGTTCTGCATTCCAACACATCCTCCGAAGGAGGGGCAGTTGTCTCATCCACCCATGTTTTCCCTTATATGATCCACTCGCTGAGCAAGATCCCTAAAGGTGGGGCGCTGGGCAACATTATTGTTCCAGCATTCTTTCATGATAGCATAAATCTGGAGAAGAAACAAAGAAAATTGGTAGTAGGTAAACACATAGCGGATATAGTTAATATATACTCTGAAATGGTCCAAAGAATATTCAACTTAACTTCATGCTTTCAAGCAACAGCTGAAAAAGAGTGTACCTAAACTCCGGCTATACGAATCAGTTTATCTGCTTGATCCCAGTGACAGCAAGAAGTGAGGATAGGTGGCTCTGGAAAAGCCCTTTTATAAAAGATTTTTTTAATGTTAGTAAAACTCAGCTAGTTTTTGAAACTTTTATGAGACTTATGTTATTTTGCTACATTTTTATCTTCTTCCCTGCTCTTATTTTTTAAAAGCTCAAAAGTGTTTAACATGACAAATACAAGTCTGACCAGAAATTGGATTTACAAAGGTAGTAATTCTAAATTAAGCTTCCCTGCAAAGTTAACATACACTTCTCTACATTTGTCCATTAAATTCCTAAATTTTAGGAATTGTACATTTGTACATTAAATTATCCTAATTCATACATAATCAGAAATAAGCCAGAAAAGTTACTGTGCAAACTGAGCCCACTTCTAGTAGAAATAGATTGAAATTATTTTTGGAAGATATTTCCACTATAATAATTATTTGGCAACAGTTTTCTCTTTGCTCAAACACGTACCTGATACCTGGTCTCAAACAACTTGTCAAGCTCTTCACCTGTACTCTTCTCATTAATTCAATCTAGACCGTTATTACCAATTTCTCATACTTTCAGCAATTTTTCACACATTGCTTAAGAACAATTTGTACAACCACCAGGAAACAAGGCAGAAACTGTTCCTTATTTTTCAGCAAATTTGAAACACCTGCACTGTCCAAGCAGCTTCAGCACCAAGTCTCTGCAGTTTGTAAGCTACAAGATAAGCTGTTGTAAGCTACAGATATCTGGAAGATTTATTATCTGTGATGGCTGGCTTTTCAGAATCAAAATGGGACAAGCATAGTTTCTGACAGAGAAACATTTCCACCTTTCTTTGATATCTGGAGAAACATCAGACATTGAAACCTCTGTGTCAGTCACTTTCAGTGAAACAGATAATGATTATCTTACACATATGACATTCAGATTATCTACAAAAAGCCAAACCTTTGTAACTCAACAGCTGCTGAACTCATACAAAAAATGCAAGAAAGGTTACTTCAGAGACTTCTCATTCTCTGCATAGACTTTTTCCACCCATGTGGCTTTCCTGCCCCACCTGTGCCCCACTCTGTTAGACCACTTGAGCCTGACGTCTCCTCTGTTGCCAATTCTGAATGGATTATTTCTCGATTTATTGTCAAGTGCTTGATTTTAAAGGGTTGCAGCAATCAATCTGAGCTAGAAGCTACACATTAAAAAACATAGCTATTTTACTTCCTTTTTTTCACTACTGATTCACCTATACAGCCCTACCAGTTGGACTGAAGCTGACTTTGTGCACCATGCACTGAAGAAGAGAGAACTACAAGGCTTAGAAGTAGTATGAAAGTATTTTTTTAGAACATCTGGAGTATTAGCAAAACCAAAAGAACACTGAAATGATTTGTGTGCTCTGAGGACAGCTTTACACATACACTTCAGTATCTGCAAAGAATACGAATACCAATCTGAAGACCCTGACCATACAAAATCTGTTTCACATATTTAACTGTGTCTACTGTATGCAGGCAGCTCTTGGCTGAAAGTACTTAATAGTGAATAACATACATGATAAACATGGTTATTCCTATGCTTGAGGAGGAAAGAGCAAGAGAATGGAAATAATCAAGATAAGGAGCTTTCTAAATTTTGTAATTATATGTGGAAAACCTTAGGAAGTTAAGATACTACTCCTAAATGTTACAGACTTCAAAAGAATCCGTAATTCACAGCTTTGAATGAGAATCTTTAAAAGGGTCTTACATGGAACAAATTCTATACACTAATCTTGTTGCCTTATCTTTTTGAAATAGAAGCCTGAGTGCCCAAGTACAGCAGTCAGTCATAATAGCCCCACTTCATGTATTTAGCGAGACTACATTCTAGGCTCCTGACAGAGTGCAAGCTAAAGAATCAGAAAATAAATATGGTTATGCTCATCATGCAACAGATAAAACAACAGCACAGCCATTCTGCTTGAATAAACACTTTAGTAGTCACAGCGGAATGAAAAACAAGTCTTGTATTTACCAGGCACTCAATCTAATAGAGCACCTTTCAGACTATAGTAACATATTAACACAATACTTCACCTCATCAGGACATCCATCTGGTCTTGGTAGTCGTCCATTATTCTTCAAAAGCTCTATCAAATGAAATACAATCATCTGCCCTTGTTTATCATTGCCAATCATGCGCATGAATTCCTGAAACAAAAGGCCAACTGTCATATATAATCTTTAAAGGAAAAAAGATGCTGCAATATTCTTATCAAGGGAAACTTCTTTATAAGAATAGTAAAAATAACTAGAATAGTATACAACAATAAAATTATAAATTACAAGTCCAGAGAACATATCAATAACTACCCATTTAAATTTTTTTAATGTAGAATAATAATATAGAATAGAATAAAATAGCATGATACATACACAATTTAAAGGAAAAAAAGCAAAAAATCTTTAAAAATGTTGATGATCATCTGATGATCTGGCTATCCCAGACAAAGAGAAGGCTGAGGTTCTCAACGACTTCTATGCCTCAGTCCTCACAGGCAAGTGCTCCAGCCACACAATCCCAAGTTGAGAAAGGCAAATGCAGGGACTGGGAAAATGAAGACCCTAAGCCCACAGAGGAGATGATCAGGTTCAAGACCATTTAAGACCTGAATGTGTGCAAGTTTGTGGGACCTGATGAGGGTGCCGGCAGACAACATTGCTAAGGTGAAGATTCTGATGACTGGAAAAAGGGAAATATAACCCCAATTTTTAAAAATGGGAAAGTGGAACCCCCAGCAAACTACAGACCAGTCAGTGTCATGTATGTGCCAGGCAAGATCATGGAGCAGATTCTCCTGGAAACTGTGCTAAGGCACAAGGAAAACAAGGAGGTGATTGGTAACAGCCAACATGGCTTTACCAAGTGCAACAAATTTTCGCCTGACAAATTTGGTGACCTTCTGTGACAGGGCTACAGCATTGGTGAAGAGCGGCATACCAACTGACATCGTCTACCTGGATATGCAAAGTGTTTGACACTGTCACACATGACACCCTTGTCTCTACATTGGAGAGACACGGATTCGATGGATGGACCACTTGGTGGGTAAAGAACTGGCTGGATGACTGCACGCAAAGAGTTGTGGCCGATGGCCCACTGTCCATATGGAGACTGGTGAGGAGTGGTGTCCCTCAGGGGTTGGTACTGAACCAATACTGTTCAGCATCTTTGTTGGCGACATGGACAGCAGGATCGAGTCCACTCTCAGCAAGCTGGTGACGATACCAAGCTGTGTGGTTCAGTCAACACGCTGGAGGGCAGGGATCCAGAGGGACCTTGACAGGCTTGAGAGGTGGGCCTGTGTGAACCTCGTGAAGTTCAACAAAGCAAAGTGCAAGGTCCTACACTTGGGTCATGGCAATCTCAGGTAACACCTACAGGTTGGGTAAAGAAGTGATTGAGAGCAGCCCTGCAGAGAAGGACGTGGGGGTGATGGTTGATGAAAAACTCAACATGAGTCAGCAGTGTGCAGTCACAGCCCAGAAAGCCAACAAATTTACAGATTTTATTTAACAGATATTATCATATTGATGTATAAAAAAAGGTTAGCAGGACTAATCAGTAACTACTGGGCAGAAAAATTACTATAATTAAAGCCTGCAAAAATGGCTTAGATAAATCTTGCTATCCAAAAAATCAACATAACCCAAAAAGAAGACTAAAACCTCACTGAGATTGCCAGAGATCTAAAGTAAAGGAGGATGTACTAGTAACTGAAAATAATTTCTAAGAACAACATAAAGGAATTATTTTTCCTCCAATACTACTAAATTTCCTTAATGATCCTTGACATGAAAGTGTGAAATAATTGTTGGTTGAATGTGCAAATGGCCAAGTTGGGAAAACAATGTATTACTATAAAGACTCCAAGAGTTAAACAGACCACTTTGGTTAATTTTAACAAATCACCTTTTCTTGATACATACCCATAGGATAACCTGTGGGGGGAAGCCCCACAATTAGAGTTTGAGGTAGTGCAAAAGTTAGGCCGTGTTCTGTGGGAGCAGTGGAGCTGGTTAGATGGTTTCCATGGACACGGCCTTG